GTGTGTGTGTATGTGTGTGCTGGCTCATCTGTCCAGGAGTGTGTGTGTGTGTGTGCTGGCCCATCTGTCCAGGAGTGAGTGTGTATGTGTGTGTGTGTGTGCTGGCCCATCTGTCCAGGAGTGAGTGTGTGCGCGCGTGTGTGTGTGGGCTGGCTCATCTGTCCAGGAGTGTGTGTGTGTGTGTGTGTGCTGGCTCATCTGTCCAGGAGTGAGTGTGTGTGTGTGTGTGTGTGCTGGCTCATCTGTCCAGGAGTGAGTGTGTATGTGTGTGTGTGTGTGTGCTGGCCCATCTGTCCAGGAGTGAGTGTGTGTGTGTGTGTGTGTGTGTGCTGGCTCATCTGTCCAGGAGTGAGTGTGTGTGTGTGCTGGCCCATCTGTCCAGGAGTGTGTGTGTGTGTGTGCTGGCCCATCTGTCCAGGAGTGTGTGTGTATGTGTGTGCTGGCTCATCTGTCCAGGAGTGTGTGTGTGTGTGTGCTGGCCCATCTGTCCAGGAGTGAGTGTGTATGTGTGTGTGTGTGTGTGTGTGCTGGCCCATCTGTCCAGGAGTGAGTGTGTGCGCGCGCGTGTGTGTGTGTGCTGGCTCATCTGTCCACGAGGGTCCCCTCCCTGTCCCAGCACCGGAAGTTCCTCCAGCCGGCTGAAACCCTAACTTGGCTCCCTCTTCCCCTGGAGGGGAGGTAGGGGCAGGGGGGCCCTGCGGATGCAGGGGGAGCATCGGCTGCCCTCAGTCCTGGGCGGCTTTGCTCTTGGCCTTTTCAGCCATCAAGACCTCACTGTGGTGGGCGTGGGCGTCCCCATCCCCCACCCACCCACCCCCCTTCTGAAAACCCTCAGTCTCCGCCCCAAAGCCCCCCCACCCCCACCCAGGCCTGGACAGCAGTGCCAGTGGAGCTGTCACTTCTCAGGAGCCCCTGAGCTGGGGATGGGGTGGGGGTGGGGGTGCTCTCGGCGCTGCACGGAGTCTTCCTCCCCCTGAGGGCTGGGCCGGGCCCAGGCTCACTAGGGGTGGGCTGCGGGGGTCGGGGTCCCTCCTGGCCCTAAGCACTATTCCACTGCGGCCTCTGGGGCTGCCCCACCCCCACCCGGCCCCCTCGCCTGCCTCGGTGCTGCTGGGGGAGGGAGCGCAGGGGCCCCAGGCCGGCTCTGCGTCGGGGAGGCCAGGCCGGGCGCCCACCACCCATCGCCGCCAGAGCAGCTGTGCAGCCCGCACAGCTGGGAGCAGTCAGCGCGAGCCCACGTCTCTGGCGTCGCTTTGTCTCTGCGTCTCTCTGGCCTCCCGGGCAGAACAAAGCCGCCCCGTCCCTCGACGCCCCCATGGCGGGCTCCCCCAAACCCAGGCTCTCTGCTCTCCCCCACGGTGACCCCGCAAACTCCAGGTGGCCCCTTCACATCGTCTCTGAAGGCCCCTTGATCGGGGTCTCCGGCAGCCCACCCCCACCCCTCACCCCGTTTCGGGGGTCCTCCGATGCCCCGGCTCGCACCCCGAGCCTCTCCCCGGCCCCAAGCGCCAGGGCCGCACCTACCTGTCCGGGTCACTCCGCCGCTGCTCCGAGTCCGACGCGGAGCTGCCCCTTGGCCCGCTCAGAGCCCCCCTCTGGGCCCCCGACGGTGCCGGCGCCCGCCCCCCAGCCCAGGAGCCGCTGGGTCCTAACGCGAGGCGCCGCCCGGGCTGCCACGCCGCGCCCTCGGGGCTGCAGCCTCCATGGGGCAGGCCCTGGGCGGAGGTGTTGCCCACGGGGCTTCACTTCCGCCAAGCGCTCCCCGCGGGTCTCGCCGGGCCTCCGGTGACGGGCGAGGTGGCCGCTGGCCCTTTTCACAGAGCAGGAGCGAGAAAGGGAGCGAAGGAGGCAGGGTGCTCTCCGGCCCGCCGGCCTCCAGGGCTGCGGGTTCCCGCCGGTCCCAGCTCTGCCTGCACTGCCCACCGCGGGCCAGTGTCTGCCCCCACCAGGGCCCTGTGGCCGCGGGCTACCTCACCTGGCCGCACCCGTGTCTCCAAGGCACCCCAGAGCCCACCAAGCAGCCCGGGGCAGGTGTTCTGCTAACAGGGGTGAGTCCACTGGGACCGGCGTATCCCACATGGGGTCTGAGTCCTGGCTCTGCTGAGTCCAGCTTCCTACTAATGCCCACCCTTGCAGGCAGCAGGTGAGGGCTGGGTCCCTGCCACCCACGTGGGAGACCCGGATGCAGCTCCCAGCCCTGCCTCTTGTAGGCATTTGGCGAGTAAACCACTGTTAGTCTCTCTCTGCCTCTCAAATATAACCTAAAAAATTAAATCCAGGGGCCGGCACTGTGGTGTAGTGGGTAAAGCCACCGGCATCCCATATGGGCACTGGTTCAAGACCTGGCTGCTCCTCTTCCGATCCAGCTCTCTGCTATGGCCTGGAAAAGCATAGAAGATGGCCCAGGTCCTTGGGACCCTGCACTCACATGGGAGACCCGGATGGAGCTCCTGGCTCCTGGCTTTGGATCAGTCCAGCTCTAGCCATTGTGGCCATTTGGGAAGTGAACCAGGGGATAAGAAACCCCTCCCATCTCTGTCTCTCTGCCTTTCAAATACATACATATTTTTTAAAAATTAAACACAATTAGAACTGTGAAACGCTACAAGTTCACCACCTCCTGACCTTGGTCCTTTCATGACCCAGGCTTTCCCCGCCCTCCATCCCTGAATCCAGTCCAGCGCCCACCGGCTGAGTCTCCCTCGTGCACGCCTGGTGTGAGGCTGCCCGCTGTGCCCACCCCAGCACAAGCCGCCATCGGCTCTTGCCTGGGCTCCAGTGGCCTCCACCTGGGCCTTCGCACCTCAGCGCACGGCCATCGGCTCCTCTGAGCGTCTTGGACCAGAGCTGAACAGCCCCCCCACGCCCCTCCAGGGGCCGCCTCCTCCTCCTCTTCCTCCCCCTGCAGCCACAGGGCCTGTGCTCGAGCTCCCCCAGCTGTCCGGTGGCCATGCTGTGGCCGTGGTCATTCCAGCGCTGGCCCTCCCCGCCGGTGAGCCTGCAAGGTCTGTGCTCGTTGGGCACAGTGCGGGGAGCGGCTTCTGTGGCAGGAATGAATGAGCCGCGCGCTCACTTCTGGGAGGGCAGACTTGTGGTGGCCATGGTGGAGCAGGCAGGTCCCCTGCCTCGGGGACAGCCCTCAGTCCTGGGTCTGAGGCAGGAATTGGGGGCTGCAGGCTGGAGACTTGGTGTCCCTGACTCTGCCTCTCACTACCTGACCTCCTTGCCTGCCCCTTAGACTCTGGCGCCCTTATTATTATTTTTTTTAATTAATGTATTTGAAAGGCAGAGTTACAGAGAGGCAGAGGCAGAGAGAGGGGTCTTTTATCTGCTGGTTCACTCTCCAGATGGCCAGAGCTGTGCCAATCCGAAGCCAGGTGCCAGGAGCTTCCTCCAGGTCTCCCATGTGGGTGCAGGGGCCCAAGGACTTGGGCCATCTTCTGCTGCTTTCCCAGGTCACAGCAGAGAGCTGCATCAGAAGTGGAGCAGCCGGGACTCAAACCAGCGCCCCTATGGAATGCTGGCCCTGCAAGTGGCGGCTTTACCTGCTATGCCACAGCGCCGACCCTGTCTGGCACCCTTATTTAGGCCCAGGCTAGTGGGTTCCATGTGTCCCTGTTCCCCAGGGCTGGCTGATGGTGCCACTTGCCTCCCGCCATGTCTATTGCCAGCACCTTTGTCACCGGGCAGTGGCCTGCGTGTTGCCAGCTCAGCCCTCTCCGGCCTCCCTCACTGCTGCCATGAGCAATCCCGTAGGGCAGGAGACGAAGCGGCCTGGCAGATAGCGCCGACCCCCACACTGTACTGAAGTGGGAACTGAGGCCCCCAGCCAGGCTGCCGACTCCTGTCCTGGCCCCATCCTCACTGCCCCGCCCTCAGGACCCGAGCACAAGTGGCAGCTGCCTGCCGAGGGGTAGCAGGTGTGGTTGCTCCCCTCACGCGTGACCTGGCTTCCTCCCTGCCGATCGCTGCCACAGGTTGCGGCCACGCCATCAGGCCCCCCTCTGTAGCCCCATTCAACAACAGGCTTCGGGCAAGGATTTGAACCCAGGCTTCGGGCTGGCCAGTCTCGCCTTAACGACTTCTACCACCCTGCTCCGTCGTTGGCTGGCGGCCCGCCCCTGGCAGCCCCCCGCCCAGCTTGCCTGGAGCTGGCCTCTGTCCCCACTGCCACAGGCCTGGCGGAAGGCAGGGAGCCGCCTTTCTCCACTGGTCCCCCCTGCCCAGATGGGCCGGGCTGCAGAGCTGCCTCTCCGGAGGAGAGGGGCGTGGCTGGCAGCCAGAGGGCTGGATGAGGTCAGAGGCACCCACCCTCCCCCGGGGGACGGGGCCATGGGCTCAGAGCCCGGATTTTATCTGAGGGAGGAACTGGACCACAAACATGTCCCAGGATCCTGGAGAGGCAGGGGGAGGGGCGAGGTGGGAGAAGGGGTGTGGCCTGGGCTAGCTGCCTCCTGGGTGCTGGCATTTCACCCCCAGCGGGGCAGGAGGGTGAGCAGCACAGAAAGTGGCAAAGTGATTTGGTTCCACGCTGTGAGGACAGAACAACGTGTGCAAGCCGCTGCACACTGGGGCATGGGCGTTCGGCCGTGCTTAGGACAGCCCCCGCTCCCGGAACTCAGGAGTGCCCGTCTGAGCCCCAGCTGCCTAACGTGCGCCCCGCGAGGCAGCAGACAGTGGCACAGCTGGCTGGCTCCCTGCCGCCCACAGGAGAGACCCGGATGGAGTTCTGGGCTCCTGGCTTTGGCCTGGCCCAGCCCCAGGAGTTGTGGGCATTGTGGGAGGAACCAGCAGGTGGAAGAGCTGTCGGAAAAAGTGAAAAATGAGGGGAAAGATGCTAGACAGAGTGCGGGGGGGGGGGGGGGGCGCTGGGCAGTGACCTGGAAAATCGGGGTGCCGGGCACAGACCCACGCCAGGGGCTGCCGGCTGGCGCCGAGCACGCCCCCCGGGGCAGGTGGGAAGGGCCACGGTGCCCACACAGGAGACAGGCACTGCAACACCAGGAAAATATCACTTTATTTGCTACACTGCCAGCAGCGCTGGTAGGGCCGTCCCTCCCTGGGATGCCCTGAAGGTGGGGGACAGTAGCCACCACCGCCCCAGGGCGGGGCCCGGCCAGGAGTGTGCCCACGGCCGCCCCAGGGGCGCGGGGAGCCACGGGGGTGGAGGCGTCTCTAGGGGTGGGGCCGGTTCAGAGGCGGGGAGCTCTGGCGGCCCCGCGCCCGCCGAGGCCAGCGCTACCTCCCGGGGCCGGCGGGCAGCGGCGGCCAGGGCTGCTGGGCGAGCTCCTGCTCCAGCTGCTTGAAGCGCTTCTTGGAGGTCCGTTTGGGCCGGAGCCGCCGCAGGCAGGCCGGCAGGCACTGGTCCAGCACGTTCTGCACGAACAGGGCCGTGTGGACACGGCGGGCAGCTGGGGCCGCGTCCCCACCCCCACCCCCACCCCCGGCCTGCCGCTGCGCGCCGCGGGCCCCACCTCCAGCAGGAAGGCCCCCACGAGGTTGAAGGCCACCAGGGCCAGCAGCAGCAGCTTGAAGCAGGTGTCAGCTATGTTCTTCAGCGCCAGCGGCCCCTGCAGCAGGCCGGGGGCCAGGATGAGGCCCGCCAGGATGGAGCCCAGGAGCGCCAGGGCCACCAGGAAGGGCACTGGGGGAGGGGTGGTCTGTCAGCAACAGCCCCTCGGCTCACCCCAGCGCCCTCTCCATCCCTACGGCAGCACCGCAGGCCCCGCCCCCAACCCGCCCCCAGCAGCACCGTTGGTGTACAGCGGCCGGCGGAAGGGCGCCCCCTTGGACACGGCCGCGGCCAGGATGAGGTACTGGAAGCCGGACAGGGAGAAGACCACGGTGTTCTCGTAGTTGGGGAGGTTGTCCGGCGCGGGCACGGTCCTGTTCAGAGGCACGAACCTGGCGGGGCGGGGGCGGGCACGCGGTCAGGGTCGGCACGCGGGGCGGGCGCGGGGCAGGGCGGTGCCTACTCACCAGGGCTGGGCTGTGGTCAGGAAGTAGCCCCCGAGCTGCACCCCGGCCACCAGGGCCACCTGCCCCAGCAGGCTGCTCAGCACCGGCACACTCAGCAGTGCCCCCGGTGGCCGAGCGCGCCCCAGTGCCAGCGCCGGCCCCGTGCGGCTCATGAGCACGGCCACCGTGGTGGTGATGACCAGGTCGATGGCCAGGAACTGCACGTCACCCAGGTTGGTGTTGATCTGCCCGCAGGGGAGGGGGAGGAGAGGGGAAACTGAGACCCGGCCCTGGCCCAGCCCCAAGGAGCCCCCGGTCTGATGGGGGAGGCCTGTTCCCTGCCTTTCCTTTCGGGAGTCTGACAAGGAAGGCCTTCCAATCTGATGGCGGCAGGCAGCCTGAGAGAGGAGGCACGGCTCCTGATCCCAGACAGCTCGCAGTCTGATGGGGGAGGGGAGTCTCTCAGCGGGGGGGCAAGCTGCCCTCCCAGCCCCGCCTGGCAGAGAGGCTGGGGCTCTGCCGTGGGGGACCCCAGGTTCCCGGGGGACAGAGCTCCTGCTGTCAGGAAGTTTCTTGCTATGAGGGACACATGGGGATGGACGCTGGCATTCAGCGGGCGAGCGAGGCAGGCTCAGGCGGCACGGCCAGCCTGGCGCAGAGCAAGTGGGTCTGGTTAAATCCCACAGCCGCCGGGGTCCGCCCTGGTCTTCCCTGCAGACTGTGAGCTCCTGGGGTGAGGCATGAGAAGCCAGCACGCTACAGGGACCCCCCACCTCCGCAGACCTACTGTGCACCGCGCTCCACGCCCAGGGCTCTCATCGGCTCCCACGGGCCTGCCGCCGGAGCCACACGGCCAGGAAGCGGTGGAGCCGGGAGACGAGCCCACGCCCGGGGACGGAGCCCTGTGGGAGCTCACCGTGTAGAGGATGAGGACCGAGATGAACTGGGTCAGGCTGTACAGGGCCATGTACTTGAAGACGCTGAACGACGTGTCCAGGGAGCAGCGGCCCTCCCTGCGGGGCAGGCGTGGGCATGAGGGGCCCAGGCTGGCGACGGGCCCGGCCACCCCCCGCCCAGCAGCCCCCGCCGCCTCACCTGATGACCACGGGCACACACTCGATACTGGCCATGCTCGAGGTGAAGGGCGAGACCACCGAGGCCTCGGCCTGGGACAGAGAGATGCCCACGTCGGCCGCCTTCAGGGCTCCGCAGTCGTTGGCGCCATCCCCACACATGCCCACGCAGTACCTGGCAGCCAGGCGGGCAGGCGGGGCCGTGAGCTGACCTCGCCCGCCCCCTCCGGCTGCTGGCGGGACCCCTGGGGCCACGCGGTAGCCCGAGAGGGTGCGGGGACGATGCCCCAGCTCCCGCCGGCCGCCCCTTGCCCACTGCCCGCGTGCGGCACTCACTGGAGCTTCTGCAACTGGCACACCAGCTCCGTCTTCTGCTCGGGGGCCATGCGGGCAAAGACGGTGCCCTGGACCAGGACCTGGGGGCACAGGGGCCGGCGGCTGCAGCAGCCATGGGGAGCGGAGCCGAGCCGGGCCGAGGGGGCGTCGGGGCGCCCCTACCTTGGGCAGCAGCTTGGGGAAGTGCTTCACGAGGACAGCGAAGGTGGGCCCGCTGAGGGCCAGGTGGCTGCATCGGGGGTCCGGCTCCACGGCGCAGCTTGTGGCCTGCTCGGGATCCTGGGGGCACAGGGAGCCCAGCCCAGCTCAGCTCCCCCTGCCGGCCCTGGGGAGCTGGGGCCTGGGGTCAGGCGACCCAGGGCTGGAGTCTGCCTCACCTTAGCCCCGTTCACGGCCACGGAGGACTCCACCGGCAGGAACTCCAGGGAGGCCGGCCGGCCCTGCTCGGGGTGCGTTGCGTGGACGATGACCAGACGCTCCTGGGGGTCCACCATGCCGCAGCCGCGGGCCACCGTGACCGCCGTCTGCAGGTTGTCCCCTGCGGTGTGTGGCAAGGCCAGGGTCCAGCGCTGCCCAGGGGGGCCCTCCTTACCCGGATCCCCATAGACAGGAAGACTGTGGCCCAGTGCGATCCATGGCCACGGTGGAGTGAGCCAGGGCAGTTAACGCCGGCTCCGGCCCCACGCGTCGAGGGGGCTGAGGAGGGGGCGGGTCTCTGGGCTTGAGGCCACATTTACTGCTTCCTGCCGGATGCCATGTGTGTGTGTGCGTGCATGTGTGTGTATAAGTGCATACTGTGTGTGTGTGTGTGTGTGTGAGTGTAGCCGGGGGCAGGGCAGACAAGGAGACCGACGCAGCCCCAGCAGCACACCCAGGCTAGAATCCCTCTGGCGCCAGGTGATTTGCACAACCTTCGTGGCAGACACCACTGTCCCCAAGCTCAGAGGGGGCCCGGGACCCAGAGCAGCCACCCAGCAGGGCGGGTGCCACACTTCCCACCACTCCTCCGAGCTGCAATGTGCTCGTCTGTCCAGCAGGGGGCGCAGTCCCGGCGCAGGCGGGATCGTGTATGAAGGCCCACCCCGCCTACAAGAAGCGCCTGGGGCGAGGCAGGCACCCAGGAGGCGGCCCCAGGAGGGCAGGCTGGGCACCCAGGGGCCATGGTACCTGTCACCATGACGGTGCGGATGTGTGTCCTGCGCAGAGTCTGGATGACCGGCGTGGTCTCCGGCTTCAACACGTTCCTCATGACCAGCAGCCCACGCAGGCTCAGCTCCCGCTCCACGGCGTCCCTGGAGCGTGGGCAGGCCCAGGTCAGAGGTCAGCAGTGACCAAGGCCCCCTCTCAGTCACAGGGGCGAGGGCCCCACCCAGGCCCGGGACAGGCGCACCTCGTCAGCTGCTGTGCCACCGCCAGGCTGGGCGCCACGGGCAGCGTCCTGCTGGCCAGGGCCACGACGCGGTAGCCGGCAGCCGTGTAGCTCTGCAGCACCGGGGCGAAGTCGGGGGGCACTGCCAGGGAGACGCAGCGTCACTCGGATGCGCAGGGGCCGGCAGGGCCAGAGGCTGGACACCCACCGGCCGTCCTGTGCCACCGTCCTGCCGTCACCTGTCTCGGGGTCGCAGAGCCCTGCCACCAGCTCGGGGGAGCCCTTGACGTAGGCCTCGGGCTGAGCGGCCCCCGGCCGCGCCACCACCACGCTCATGCGCTGCAGCGCCGACGAGAAGGGGAAGCGGCAGAGGACGCTCACGGGCGCGGGGGGCTCCTCCTGCAGGTGCGAGAGGACGCTGTGGCGCCCGCTGTGGAGCCCCCCCCCCGGGGCGCCCCTCACCCCCTCAGCTCACCGTTCCCTGCAGCCCGGGCTCCCGGGGCGGGGGTCTCATCACCGCCAAGACCGGGGCCCCGAGCACCGAGTCGGCAGCGGGTGCCTCCTCCAGGACCTGGGAGGCGGCGGGAGGTTCGGTCAGACCCCCAAGCCCTCCTCCCCGGGGACTGCGTGGGGCGCAAGGCGAGGGGCGGGCCCTGGAGGGGGGGGGGGCTCGCGCTCCTTAGGCTTTTTTTTTTTTTTAAGATTTATTTAAAGGCAGAATTACAGAAAGGGAGAAAGACAAAGATCACCCATCTGCTGGTTCCCTCCCCAGGTGGCTGCAATGGCCGGGGCTGGGCCAGGCTGAAGCCAGGAGCCAGGTGCTTCCTCCTGGTCTCCCTCGAGGGTGCAGGGCCCAAGCACCTGGGCCATCCTCCACTGCCCTCCCAGCCAATTAACAGGGAGCTGGATGCGAAGTGGAGCAGCCGGGACTGGAAATGGTGCTCACAGGGGATGCCGTGTCGCAGGTGGCGGCTTACCCTGCCGGCCAGGCGCTGGCCTCAAATTGAAACCCTGTCTCTGAGAGCCCCTTTCAAGGTGACCTTGGACAGGGGCCGCCACCCCCCTCAGCTCAGTCTCTCTCCTGGGAGGCCGGTTTCAAGCTGGGGCAGGGGAGGGGTCCACGCGACAAGGCCCGTGCCGCAGAGGCTGGCCTCGCCCTGATTATGAATAATGGGGAGGGGGAGGGGCATGTCAGAGACCCAGAATGAAGACGGGTCGGGGGCCGCCTCACCCAGCCAGTGGATTCCACCATCTTGAGGTCCATGGGGTCGCCCACCAGGGTGTCCTGGAGCCGGCTGAGGGCGTGGCAGGTGGCCAGGGCGTGGAGCAGGGGCCCTGCGGGCAGGCGGCGGGGCTCTGGGAGCAGCGGCAGGAACGCCTGGCCCTTCAGGGGCACCACTCCCATCACGTCCAAGCCGTCCTCGGTGAGGGTGCCCGTCTGCGGGGACAGGGGGACCCTGGTGTGAGGCGGGGCTGGCCAAGGCCTCTCCTGACCTCCGGACTCCCACCCGCGTGGTTCCTCCTGTGGGGGTCAGCCTCGAGTCCCCACGCTTCATGGTCTGGCTTTGTTTCCGGGGCTGGGGAGTCTGTGCCCTCGGTCCCACCTGTGGCCTCTGTGCTCTGTGGCACCCAGAAAGAGCTGGCCCATGGTCAGCACTCAGCCTGTTTGTTGATTGAGTGACTGATCTCCCACACGGGATTCCAGCTGCCCAGTCCCTCGCCCACGAGCCGTGTGAAGCTGACCGCGAGCCCCAGCCCCTGAGTTTAGAGAACTCTCTGTGGCCCCAACACTCAGGGTAACGTTCAGCCTCCAGCCTCGGCCAGCCCGGCGCTGCGTGCCTGCCCGGGCCCTGCCGTTCACCCTGCGTGTTCCACAGGGGCCATGCTGCTCTGGCCTCCCCACCCGCCCTCAGCAAGGCCACTCCGGGGAGCCCCTGCAGCTGGGTGCCCCCTCTCTGCCCTACTTGCCTCCCTCCTAACTTTGGTTTTAAAGATCTATTTATTTGCAAGGCAGAGAAAGAGGGTGAGACAGAAGGACTGGGGTGGGGGGAAGGGAGGGGGAGAGAGAGAGGTCTTCCACCCACTGGTTCACTCCCCAGATGGCTGCCATCAGGAGCCAGGGACTCCAGGTCTCCCACGCGGGTGCAGGGGCCCCAGCACCTGCGCCATCTCCCACTGCTCTCCCAGGGAGCTGGGTCGGAAGTGGAGCAGCCCAGGAACCTACACTATGACGGGGATGCCGGTGTCACCAGCATTGGCTTAGACTGCTGTGCCACAGGGCCGGCCTCTGAGACCCCCGCCCGCCCCGTGCACCCACACGATGACCACGAGGCCGTCTGTGTCGCTCACGGCTGCCCCTCCAGGGCACACAGGAGGCCCTCGGTGATTTTTGAACAAGTGACTTGGCGCGCTGCTCTGAGTGTGTCCCGAGGAACGTGGGAGTGCAAGCCCGGCCGAGGCCTCCGAGGGCCCCCCGCGCCCAACGCACCCACCTTGTCGAAGCACACCAGCCGCAGCTTGCCGGCCAGGTTGATGCGCGCCGGGTGGATGCAGAAGATGGCCTGGCGGCGCAGGCGGCTCTGCGCGTAGAGCGTGCACACGGTCATGGCGGCCGGCAGCGCGGGCGGCACCACCACCGTCACCAGGTCCAGGGCCCGGAGGACAATCTCGTCCACGGCCACCTGCCAGGAGGCACCGTGAGCGGCGGGCTGGGGCGGCCCTGGGCCCCGGGAGCCCCGCCCGGCCCCGCGGCTTACCCGGTTGCGGTAGAGGATGAAGATGCTGTAGACGGTGCCCAGCAGAGCTGCGGAGACAACGAGGGACACGGTGGGACGTGGGGCCGGGGGGAGGGGGGGCTGCTTACCCAGGACAGAGAGGGACACGGTGGGACGTGGGGCCGGGGGCGGCACCAGCGCAGCGGGGAGGGGGGAGGGGGGGCTGCTTACCCAGGACAGAGAGGGACACGGTGGGACGAGGGGCCGGGGGCGGCGGGGGGGCTGCTTACCCAGGACAGAGAGGGACACGGTGGGACGAGGGGCCGGGGGGGGCGGGGGCTGCTTACCCAGGACAGAGAGGGACACGGTGGGACGTGGGGCCGGGGGCGGGGGGGGCTGCTTACCCAGGACAGAGAGGGACACGGTGGGACGTGGGGCCGGGGGCGGCACCAGTGCAGCGCAGTGGGGTGGGGGCGGGGGGGCTGCTTACCCAGGACAGAGAGGGACACGGTGGGACGTGGGGCCGGGGGCGGCACCAGCGCAGCGTGGGGGGGGGGCGGGGGGCTGCTTACCCAGGACAGAGAGGGACACGGTGGGACGTGGGGCCGGGGGCGGGGGGGCTGCTTACCCAGGACAGAGAGGGACACGGTGGGACGTGGGGGGGCTGCTTACCCAGGACAGAGAGGGACATGGTGGGACGTGGGGCCGGGGGCGGTGGGGGGGCGGCTCACCCAGGACAGAGAGGGCAGCCACGAACTTCATGCTGTGCTTGTAGAACTTGAAGCTGATGGGCCGCGGGTGCAGGATGGAGCTCACCAGGCCCCCTTTGGCCGTGCAGAACCCTGGGGAAGACAGGGAGCCACGGAGGGGAGGCGGAGGGAGAGCAGGCGTCTCTCAGCACTCGCCCACCCCAGCTGCACTTGGCTCGGCTGTCACCCAGTCTGGGGTCACGAGCGATGGCCAAGGCTTGCCCACTCGCACTTCAAACCCAGGTTCAGGTGGACCCCTTCTGCTGCCACACCCTGCTCGCCCGGCACGTAGGGCCCTGCCGGCGACGGCGGACACCACGGGGCTGGCCCGTCGGGCTTCACTTCTGTTAAGCTGGGACCCCAGAGGCAGCAGGGGTGGGCATGGGGCCAGGACCCCGCCCCCTGCCCAGCCTCCTGATGCGTACCTGTCCGGGTCACCACCGCCAGGACATGCGGTCCCACGTAGGCCCGGGCCTGCAGGACGAGGGTCCCGCAGAAGAGCGTGTGCCGCCGGTGCGTCTCCGGGCAGTAGGGGCCCGGCCCCTCCGGCAGTGCCGTCTTCAGCACAGGGACGCTCTCCCCTGGGAGGGACGCTGGGTGAGGCCACGGGGGTCTCGGGGCCGCCCCCTCCCCCCGACAGTACCAGAGGTGTGCGGGGAGCTGTGCCGGGAGCCCCAGCTCCCCCTGAGCTGGGACCGCGTGTGGAGAAGAAATCACGGCCCCATTGTACAGAGAGGGACACTGAGGGTGAGAGACGCCAACCCGGAAGCGGACTGGGCGGCCAGTCACGGAGATCACCCTCCTGGGGGGCTCGGGGGACGCACCTGGCCACGTCCACGTGTGGTGGGGGCAGGGGGAGTCTAATGCCTTCTGTCAGAATTATTTTTATAGTAAGTGTGCGCTGCGTTTACAATTCAAACCAATAAAGATATAAACCGGGGTGTAACCTCAATTAAAGCCTTGGGCAGACTGCCGGGTATAATCCCTTACCGAATGCCTGTGAGGATGCAGTTATTGAGCGCCTACTGTGTGCAGCTTTCTGGAAGGGACTAAGAGGCTACCCAGGCACGGGGCGGGAAAGCGGGGAAGGGGGGCTAAGCTCAGGGCGTGTGTGCACGCGCCACGCCAATCGCCGTTCTTATCATACAAACAACACGCCCCGGGAGCCTTCCCCGGATACGGCCACTGCCCCGCGGTTTCCAGTGATCACCAGCATCCACCCAAAGCTACCGCTCTGCCGAGCCGGAAGTGCCTGCACGCACCGAGAGACGTGGCACCCGGCTGCTCGTGGGGGCGGGGGCGGGCGGGGTCACACTGTGACACTCATGGCTGGGGGCCCGCTCGGGTCAACGGTGCTTCTGCGCAGCCCTGGGGGGCGGCTGAAGGTGCAGGGACACGCAGGCCGTGAACAGCTTGAGAGGCCACAGAGGTACGGAACGAGGCCTCGGGTGCAACCCATGTCCGGGACAGAGGGGGCGCACCCGCACGTGTGCAAGCTGCCCTGCGCACAGCTCACGGGGAGAGGGACGTGGCTGCATGAACCCCCGCCTCGGCTTTTCCCAACCCGCATTCCCCAGGGGCTTTGCCCTCGCATTAATGCCCGGAGGAAGGCGGGAAGAGGCCTCGAGCCCTTCCCAGTGGCTGTCGGGGCGGGGAGGGCACTGGGCGTCCCAGCGGGCGCGTCCCCTGCTCTGCTGTGCTCGCAAAGGCAAACACTCACACGGGAAGATGGCACACAGCGGGTGCTTACTGTGACCACTCTCGCTCCTAGGCCCCTGCACAGCCCCATTTCGCAGGGAAGAGGCCCAGGCACCGGGAGGGTAAGCAACGCAGCCCGAGGGCGCGGGGCTGGCAGGAGCGGAGAGAAAAAGGAAAAGAGAACTCGGCGGGGCAGCCGGGGACTCACCGGTCAGAGAGCTCTCGTTGACCACGCACTCGCCGGCCACCAGGGCGGCGTCGCAGGGCACGAGCCCGCCCTCCTGGGGCAGGACCAGGCAGTCTCCCGGCACCAGCTCGCTGGAGTCGACCCACTCCTCCTCTGCGGGCGGGCAGACGGGAGCTCAGCACGGCCGGGGCTCAGCACGGCCCCGGCGGCGGCTGTGGGCCCCCTCCCTGCCCAGCGCCTCACCTCCTCCGGGCCGGCACACGCGCACCTGCATGGACAGCTTGACCATGTCCCGCAGAGTCTGGCTTTGCTGTGGGCAGGGGGACGAGAGGCGGGTGGGTGGCAGCCCCGGGGGGCCCAGCGGCCCGCCTCCCGCCACTCACCTTTCTGGTCTTGTACGCGGACAGGCAGATGGAGACGGTGGAGATGAGGAAGATGCACAGCGCGTACCAGTAGTAGCGGTCCGCCAGCCACAGCGCAATGCTGAAGGCCTGGAACCCGTAGTAGGGGTTCAGCGCCTGGGGAGGGGGGAGGCAGGGTCAGGCCCGAGGCCCCTGGGGTGGCCCAGCCGCTGGCCAGGTCTCCTGTGCCCACGAGAGCAGGGGGCCCTGCAAGTGGCAGAGGACCAAGGCCCAGGCTCTGTCGGGGCTCGTCCCATCCCCCGGCCGGCCGTGTGCCTGCTCTATAGAGGCCGGGGGCATCTGCTGGGCCCCCGACACCCGGCCCTTACCAAGCACCTGAAGTGTCATGGAGTGCGGATGGCGAGTCAGGGTGGACCCACCACTGGCTCCATGGTACAGACCAGGAGACTGAGGCTTGAAGGGTCAAGTCACTGGCCTGAACCCAGCTCGCTCCTAGGGGCAGACCCAGGGGCTCTCCCTCTCCCAGGTTCTGTCCTGGGGTGAGGATGTCACCATGTCGCTCTGGGTGTCCCCTCTGACGCCCAGGAGCCTCATGGGTGAACAGAGTTCAAGCCCCACTCAAAGGGAGTGGGAGGAGGGGAGTGGACGTCGCATGGAAAGGGGCCTGGCTCTGGGCAGGCGGGAGGCGCTCAGGCTGCCCCCGGGCAGCTCCTGGCCCCAGCCCACGCCTTGGGCGGGGCCTCCAGTTCCTCTACCGGCTGGGCAGCCCTGGAGGGGCCTGGGGTGACCCGTCCTATGCATAGGGTCCACACGTCTGGCCTGCCACCCCCAAGTGGCCCCGAGGAGCAAGCGCCAGGCTGGAGCCACACGCAGCCGGGGCGAGGCCCAGGGACGGCCCTACCTCATCCGCCAGCAGCCGCGGGTATGACTTAACGGGCACGCCGATGACGTTGGGGCCGTAGATGGTCTTCCTGCAGGGGGAGGGGCTGTGGTCACAGAGCTGCCGGCCAGGGAAACAGGGGCCCACGGAGCGCAAGTGATAGGAAATCAGCGCCTGTCCCCGCCCTTGCCCCCCTCCCCCCGCCCTGGCCCTGCCCACCTCACGGCTCGGTCCTGGGGGCTGAGGCCCAAGTGGCAGCGGCGGATGTCATCACAGGTGCGACCCTGGTCCAGCAGGCTGTTGGGTGGGGGAGGGGAGAGGAGTCGCTGCGCCCGGGCCACCCCGGGGGTGGCCCGGACCTGCATCGGCCACACCGATGCACTGTTTGCTCCTCTGACCGGGTCCCAGCCCATCTGCCCCGGGAGGGAAGGGGGGCCACGCTCAGGCCCACAGAGCAGCGGTCACCTGTGACAGAGCTGCCACACCTCTCTGGGCCTCGGTGAGCTCCCGGCCAGATGGGGGCAGACAGCAGCTGCCTCCCAGGGCCGTGGGGGTGAAGCGTGCTCAGCCGTGGGGCGCTCTGGGCAGCGCCCGGCTCTCACGGGCGACACCGCGCGCCCTCCACACTCGCCTGTGCGTGCACCTGTCTCGGGACCAGCTCACCCACGCCAGCCAGAGCTGGAAGCAGGGAGGGTTCCAGTTTTGCCGTGGCAATGACGTAGGGGCCATGGCCCTCGCGCCCCGGGGGACTGAGCTCCTGGGGCCACGGTGGGCATCGGCCTGAGCAGCCCCTCCGTCCCAGCGCTGACTGCTCCAAGCACACTGCCCACATGCGGACCCTCATCTGGAGGCCAGTTTCCGGGGGCCCCCAGCTAGGATGGGCAGGCAGGGCAGAACAAGCAGACGGAACCGTCCGGAGCCCCCAGGCTGACCAAGCTCACCTCAACACGACCCTAGGGGGCAGGGGTTCCCCGACCCCCAGTACACCCTGACGCCGGAGAGGCTCAGGAACGCGCCCACGGCCTCTCCGGGCCACGTAATACCGCACCTGCTCCCCCCCACCCTGCGCATGCGTGCCTACATGGTGCTGGCCAGAGCCCCTACCTGACTTGGAGGAAGGCCTGCCGGGACTCGAGCCACACGTAGCGCTGGCCCTGGAAGAGGTAGTAACGCAGCAGCCGCTTCTGGGCAGAGAGGAGAGAGGTCGGGTAGGGCCAGCCCGGCCTAGGAGCACGTGGGCACTGGGGGCAGCGGGCAGGGCCCCGGTCGCAGGACAGAGGGGACGGGGCTGAGAAGGGGAAGGTTTGGAACGAGAGGGCCAGGATCGGTGGCACCAGATATGGATGCACAGAGCGCGCCAAGGACCTCTACTCACCGCCTCCTCCCTCGTGTGCAGCCGGGCTGAGTCCTCCCACTCGCCCTCCGGCACCGCCCCCACGGCCGCCTGGCTCCGGCCATCCTCCCCCGGGGCCGGTGGGGGCAGCTCCAGGCTGGGGAGGAGGGGAGGCCGCCCTGCACCTCACTGTCGCCACAGAGCCAGCGCCCCTCCCTGGGACGGAGGCCCCGGGCTCAGAGGGTGCGAGGGCTCCCGGGAGGGCTGGAGGCCGCCTCACCTGCCTTCGCCGATGGCCGCCGTCTGCACCTGGACGGTGAAGAGCTGCCACGAGCTATCCTGGAACCCAGAGGACAGGACTCAGCCGGCCCCGCCCAGGCCCCGCCCACCCAGGGGCCCCTGCGGGAGGGGGGGAGGCAGCAGTGGAGGCCCGAGGCGAGCTCCTGCCCACTGCGCAGATGGGAAAGCTGAGACCCAGACCCTGGCTGCCCTGCTCTGGGCAAGTCCGGGGCAGCTCGGGCCGGGAACCCTCGTCCTCCACGCCCCCAGCGTCGGCCACTGCGGTCCCTCCCCAGCCCTGGGCCTCACCTCTTTGTCTTTTATTTCGATGACGAGCGTTTCGGCGCGGGCCAGGTGGCAGGGCCGCAGCCGCAGCCGCACGCCCCACCAGGGCTTCCACCGGAAGAGCAGCAGAGGGACCCCCGCCATCATCCAGACCACGAGGTGGTAGCCGATGACCCTCCAGGGGGTGCCGCAGTAGCCGCTGAGCCTCTGCGAATGCAGGTCACAGGGCCTGGCGGGGCGGGCCGGGCCGGGGCCGGGGGCCGATCCCACTGCCCCCCTCGCACCTACCACGGATGAAACTGAGGAGCTGAGGGGATCGATCGACGTCTCCATCGTCAGGGTCCCATAGCCGGCGGGCGTGCTGCCCACCAGGGGGCTGCTGTCTGCGGGCGGGAGGAGAGGGTGGCTGGGGTGGCTCCCGCTCCGTGAGCCCAGACAGCCCAGCACTGCTGTCCGGCCGTGTCTGTCACCTCTGGCTGGGTGTGGCCCGCAGCTGAGAGCAGGTGCACGGCCACGCCCACCTGTCAGCCCCCTGGAGCCCCGGGCCCATTTCACCTCTCCTCATCCACTCCTGGGCTCGGGGCTGTTCCTCCGCCTTCAGTCCCGCGCCCACTGGGGCCTGGCAGTGAGATCAGCCAGACGCCGCGGTGAGGCTGTGGCTACAGACGGGCAAACTGAGGCCTGGGCGCCAGCGTGTGTCTACTGTGGAAATTCTCCCCTTACCTCGCTGCCGTGGGGCTGGGGGCTGGGGGCTGGGGGAGGCAGGGCGTGCAGGGCCCGAGGGGCTCCTCTGCGGCTGGGACCCCCGCAGCCCCCACTGGACACGCAGCTGCCCGGGCCCTGCTGGGGGCCCCCGGGCGCTTCCCAAAGCCCCTGGAAAAGTCCCCGCGCAGGCTGGTGCAGGCTGCTGACGCCCAGGCTCCCTCCCCCCACCCTCAGCTGCAGCCTTCTGAGTTCCCACCCAATCAGCCTGCATGGTCCCGCTGGTCCTGCCGACACAACCCTGCCTTCCCTGCTGCCCTGGCTCTGCAGCCTCCCTAAGCCCAAGTCCCAAAGGCCGGCCTTCCCCAAGGGCTCACCGCCCACAGGCTCTGGTCCTGGGCCTTGGTGCACAGCCGGCACCGTAACCCTGCCAGGCAACCACGGTTATGATCCTCGTTCTAAAGATGAGCACAGGGACCAGAGAGGTTGAGTCACCTGCCCAGATCACACAGCGGGTACACAGCAGGATCAGGACAAAGTCCAAGAGCCAGCTCTAGGCTGGGTTCGCTTTTAATTAAACAAGAGGTTTATTTGTTTCATGCAAACAAAGAAAAGAGTCTAGCGTTGGTAGCCAGGGCTGGTACGAGAGCTCTGGGCCCTGGCTCCGTCTCTGTTCTGTTCTCAACGGTGACAGCTGCTGGGAGGGGCAAGGCAGCGGCCTGGCTGGTTCCCTGTCACTTCTCACTGCCAAAGGCCATCTCACGGCCGCCTCCGGCTGCACCGCGACCAGGCTGGGACGGCTCCGTGCCCTTGACGGTGAAGGAGCCATGGAGGGCCGGGGCTGGTCTGCGTCTCAGCCGCCCCTTTAGCTCTGCACACGTCTGCCCGCGTGCTGAGCGGTAGGGGCGCAACAGGTATCGCCGCCCATGCAGGGGGCTGCCGGGCACAGCAGCAGAAACTGCCCCTGGGGTGCCCACAGCTGCTCCCCGCCCCCTCCAGCCTCCTGGGGGCAGCGGAGGACGGCCCAGTGCTGGGCCCCGGCCGCCCTCGTGGGAGACCTGGAAGAGCTCCTGGCTCTCGGCTGCAGCCGGCTCAGCCTTGGCTGCTGCGGAAGTCTGGGGAGTGAACCAGTGGGTGGGAGCACTCGCGCACGCGCTCTCTCTGTGGGGAGTGAACCAGTGGGTGGGAGCACTCTCTCTCTCTCTTTCTCCCCCCCTGGCTCCACCTTTCAAGTAGATGAAAATAAATAAACACTTAGATCTAGAGAGCAGAGAGGGCTCCAAGCTTCAGACAGAAGTGAGTGATCTGACCGGTGCTCCCGCATAGACATATCACCCTCACCCCATAAATAGGTGCAGTTATTCAAGCTCATGGAAATGTACAAGACCCTCCTAGGACACACTAAAAAAATCCTCTCCAGCGGTTATGACGCCACGTGGGACACGTGCATCCCCTACTGGAGTCCTGGGTTCGAGTCCTGGCTCTGCTTCTAATCCAGCTTCCCGCTCATGCGCACCTGGAAGGCAGCAGGTGACGGCCCAGGCACGGGGGCCGCTGCCACTTACAGGGGAGGCCCAGCCTTCTGGCTGGCCGCTGGCTCCAGCCTGGCCCAGCCCGGGCTCCTGCAGACATTTGGGGAGTGAACCTGTGCAGTGAAGATTCCTGTCTCCCTGTCTCTCTGCTTCCTGATAAAAACATTAAAAAGAGTCCTGGGGCCAGCGCCGTGGCTCACTTGGTTAATCCTCCACCTGCAGCGCCCGCATCCCATATGGGCGCTGGTTCTCGTCCCGGTTGCCCCTCTTCCAGTCTAGCTCTCTGCTGTGGCCTGGGAGGGCAGTGAAGGATGGCCCAAGTCCCTGGGCCCTGCACCCGCATGGGAGACCAGGAGAAGCACCTGGCTCCTGGCTTCGGATCGGCACAGTGTGCCGGCCGTAGCAGCCATTTGGGGGCAGTGAACCAACGGAAGGAAGACCTTTCTCTCTCTCTCTCTCACTGTCTAACTCTATCTGTAAAGTAAAAAAAAAAAAAAAAAAAAAAAAAAGAGAGTCCTTTATTATGAATAAAATGGACCCAGGAGTACATAGTGTGTATTTGCCTGAAACTGACCTTCCCCAAGTCGGTTCTCAGAACTGGAGACGACACCCACCCAGCGCTGGGGCCCCCAGCGCTGGGGCCGGGTCGCAGCCCAGCGGACCCGGCGACTCAGAGCACTGGCGTGAGCCCCGCTGCTTCGCTTCTGACCCGGCGCCTGCCAGTGCACCTGGGAAGGCAGCGCATGATGGGCCACGCGCTTGGGCCCCTGCGGCCACACGGGGGACCGGATGGAATCCCAGGCTCCTGGCCTTGGCCGTTTGGGGAGTGAACCAGCAGATGAAGATCTCTCTCTTGCCCTCTGTGACTCTGCCTTTTGAACACATAAAATAACTATTAAGAAGGCCACCCACTGGGTACTCAGGGCGGGCCCCGATCACCGCTCAGCCCCTGGGGACACCTTGAGCACTGGGGCCTCGGTCCTAGCCCACAGGCGCAGTCCCGCGCGCTCCCATCACCCCTCAGCACTCCCCGGCGTGGACAGCACCGCCCAGGGGCCATTCTCCGAGCTCCTGGGGATGCACTGCGGAGGGCTCTCGTCTTGCTGACTCACAAAGGAAGGAACTGGGCAGCGAGGCCCCGAGCCAGGAAGCCGGAGACCCCACGCCTGAGGGCTGCTTCCGAGGACGGGGGCCCTGTGCCTCCGGAGGCCTCTCCCAACCATGACTCAAAAACCAAACGCACCCAAGTCCCACCCCCGGCCAGCCCTCGCCCGGGCAGCACCTGACTCAGAAAGCAGATGCCGGCATTGCGGCTCCCCCGAGAGCCTGGGCCACACAGACGCGGGAGCCTGCGGCCTGGGGGCTCGGGCGGCAGAGCAGGGTGGGGCAGGGGCACGGCTTCTGCCCCTTCCTGGTGTGGCCCAGGGCAGGCAGGACGAGGGCCACAGTCAGGCTACGGGGGGGGGGGGGTGCGTTTCCTGCCCCTCCTGCACAGTCCCAGTATTGGGGGAGGGGTCCCCACTGTGTGTGTGTGATGATGTATTGATTTGAAAGGGAGAGAGGGAGTAGGAGTGACCAGTGTTCCATCTGCTGGTTCACTCTCCAAATGTTCATAATAGCCAGGTGGAAGCCAGGAGCCTTGAACTACATCCGGGTCTCCTACATGGATGGCAGGGGCCCAAGCTCTTGGGCCGTGTTCCACGGCTTTGCACTGGGCCCCGCTGTATCTCTGCCAGAGCCCACCCCAGAGGTGGGCTCCTGGAAGTGGGTGGGGGCAGGAGAATGTCTCACACTTCAGGGCTGGGCCAGGCTGAAGCCAGGAGCCAGGAGCTTCTTCCGGGTCTCCCACGTGGATGGCCGGGGCCCTAGGACTTGGGCCATCCTTGGCTGCTTTCCCAGGCTATAGCAGAGAGCTGGATCGGAAGTGGAGCAGCCAGGACTTGAACCCGCGCCCCTGTGGGGTGTCAGCATGAGGCGACAGCTCCACCCGCTACACCACAGCGTCGGCCCCCCCGTGGACTTCCTAAAGCCCTCTCGTGTACTTGCTCGCGTCTTCCTCAGCACAATCTCATGAATTCCTCTGCCCCCCACTTTTCAGGTGGGGAGACTGAGTCCCAGGGACGTGACCTTGCCCAAGGGCCGCAGGGCGTCATCATGAATCATGCCCAAGGCAAGCTGGGTCTTGCCCAGCCTCTCCCGGCTTCTACGTGGTCCCGGCCCTCGGAGCACAAGCAGAGATGCGCGTGCAGCCGCCCTGGGGTAGGCGAGCGGCCCGCGGGGTGGCGCAGGACCAGGCAGCTGGCTCCCTGCCGAGGAGGCGTGGCTTCTGCCTGACCCACTTCTCAGGCTCCCACGGGCTCTGCACCCCCAACTGTGCCGCTGGTTCCCCGGGGCCACCCACCAGCTCCGCACCAGACCCAGAGGCGCCCGGGCCTGCGGCAGGAATCAGGAAGGGAGGGAAGCCCGCGGCGGGTCGGGCCACGGGGACACATCCCCGCTCCTGAGTGCCACCCCACCTGCACAGTGGGCTCTCCCCACTTCACAGACGGGAACGCGGAGGCTGGCCAGCACCTGTCTTGGCACCAGGTCCTCTCTGCCCAGCACCAACTGGGGCTGCCGCTCACCCTGGGGGTCAGGAGACGGTGAAGGAAGGCCCGGGCGCGTCGCAGGCACAACAGAGGACGGGGGCACAGTCCCGAGCCCACCCCCTCGCTGCCTTGCTTTGCTGTGAGCTGCCGAGGTGGCAGCCACCTGGGGTTTTCAATTGGAGAGCCAGAGAGCAGAGAGAGGGAGGGAGACCTATCCACTGGCTCATGCCCCAAATGCAGGCAACAGCCAGGGCTGGGCAAGGCGGAAGCCAGCATCCAGGAACCGGACTCAGGTCTCCCATGTGGGCGGCAGGAATCCAGGGGCGGTGGGACGCGGGCATCGTAGCTGCTCTGCCAGACGCCTGCCCCTCCCGGCCACTTCCTCCGGGGTCCTTGCCAGAGACCCCCCAGGATGCACGCAGCAGCCCCTCTGGGAAGTTCTTCCTGCGTCTGTCGCACACCCCTCATTCCCTGAGGACTCTCCCAGGAGGCGGGGGGAGCTGGAGGGGAAGCCGGGGCAGACCCTCGCCAGGCCAGCCGGGCCCTGTTTATCTCTTCTCGCAGCTCAGCGCCCCAGGAAGCCTGCGGCCGGCGCGGGCACACCCAGGCTCCAGGGAGGAGAACGGGTTGTTCAGGCTCCTCTGTTCAGCGGCGTCTGGAACCGAATTTTCCCACGCAGCCCCCGTCCCGGGCTGCGGCACGGAGCTGCGAAGTCCCTCGCCCGGCTTATTCGGGCAGAAGCTGGCGACATCTAAGTTCCTCTTCGCGCACACAGCCACACAGCCACGCACTTGACCCGGGCCCGGGCTGATGACCGGGCACACGCACTGCAGGGCAGAGGGGCCGGAGCCCAAGCATTCGGGAACCTCTCATTTCCTGCGGGAGGCCCATCTTCCTGTGGCAACAGGGCCCTGGCGGGGGCGGGGGCCTCCGCCCTCCCGCTGGATCCCCAGTGGCAGGGAGCTCCTGCGCCCACCAGGCCGGGACGGGCAGCCAGGGGCCATCTTTCTGGATTCCTGCCCCTCCCTCACCCCAGGTGCCCTCCAGGCTTTGAGGCTGGGGGCGTGGGGAGGGAGAGATGGGGTCTGCGTTGCCTGGGTGGGCCCTTTACCGGGGTCTGGGGTCTGCGTGAGTGACTGGGGATGAGGCCCTTCCGGATAAAAGCGGTCTCCTGGCCTCATCTGCTGCAGGGGGCACATCATAGATAAGGCTGCAAAGGGTGAGCCTCCTACGCCCGGCCTGGGAGGCACGGAGGGTGTGGCCCTTGGAACAGGCTGCCAATCCCAGATTCATTCATTCATTCAGACAAGGGAGGCGGCTGCCCCGAGCCCCCCATGCCGCGGCCTCGCACCTGCTCCCCGACCTGGGCCTCGGACACTGGGGGCGGGAGCTGATCCGTGCGAGTGGGCCCGCCTCCCAGGCCTGGCCTCGCCGCGACCCCCAAGGACCCCCTTGCACCGGCGCCCGGAGCCTCCTCCCCGTCGGCAGCCGGGGCGCAGGAAGCCGGGGAGGGCACGGCTGTGCGCGGCGCGCCCGGCGGCGGGGGGCGCCGTCCCCGGGCTCGGCCTCTCCGGAGCGGGCCCCGGGCCGCTCGCGGGCTCGTGCCCCTGCGGTGGGCGGTGTCGCCTCCCCTCCCTGCACAGGTGCGACGGCGGGCGGGCCGGCGACTCCGCCGGGTCCAGAGCCCCCCGGCCCCGCACTCACCTGCGCTCATGCCGGCTCCTCGCGCTCATCGCCGGCCCCGGCGCTGCGGCCCGCGGCCTGGGCCCCGGGCGTGCGCAGGGCCCCGGGCGGGGGCGCGGTCCGAGCGGCCCGGGGGCTCGGGGCAGGCGCCGCGGAGAGCCGCTCGGGGCGCGGGGCGACGGCTCAGCTCCGCGGCTCCGACCGTGCCGCAGTCGGGAGCGCGCCGCGAGCGCCGCCCAGCCCAGGGCGGCCCGCGTCCGCGGCGGCGCCCGGGCTGCTGGGACTTGTAGTCCGGCGCCGCCGCCGCGCACGCCCAGGGCCGGGACAGAGGACTTGCGCAGGGATGGGACGGAGGCGAAGGCGTGTGTGGGGACCGAGATGTGGGCCGGCTGCGGGCTGGTCCTGCCGATCCCTGTGGTGTGGGCTGACGTCTCGCTTCATCTACACCTGCAGCGACACTTCCAGCGGGGACGGGCTGCCTAACGTCCCAGAGCCCCCCTGGCCTCTGCCAGGACTTTGCCCAGGGAACCCAGCCGCCCCGGGCAGCAGCATGACTGGGTTTGGAAATGGTAGCTCAGATGGCCCTGCCAAGAGGCGAACAGGACAGTGACAAGGGGCTGGGCACTGGCGTCAGAAAGTCCCTGGTGCACTTGTCACTTCCTAGCTGGGCACTGGCGTCAGAAAGTCCCTGGTGCACTTGTCACTTCCTAGCTCTGTGAGCTTCCAAAAGTCACCTCCCTCTCCCTTCAGCTGTGCGGTGGAAGCCGCTGGAGCAGCCAGTGGTTCCCTGTAGATCCTGGTGCTGGGTTAGGGGCTTCGCAAGGGGCTGAAACGGTGGTGCACGCATCTCATACCGGAGTGCTTGGTCCAGTCCCAGCTGCTCCACTTCTGATCTAGCTCCCTGCTTATGTGCCTGGGAAGGCAGCAGAAGATGGCCCAAGTCCTTGGGCCCCTGACCCCAAATGTGGGAGACCCGGATGGAGTTCTTGGCTCCTGGCTGCTGCCTTTGGCCTGGCCCAGTTCTGGGCTTTGCAGCCATTTGGGAAGTGGACCAGCAGATGGAAGACCTCCCCATTTCTTCTTGTCTGTCTGTCTGTCTTCTACTGCTTTCCCAGGCCACAGCAGAGAGCTGGATGGGAAGAGGAGCAGCTGGGACTCGAACCGGCATCCCTATGGGATGCCGGCACTGCAGGCTGGGGCTTTAACCTGTCATGCCACAGTGCCGGCCCCTGTTCTGCCTTTCAAATAGAACTGAAGAAGCTTCACAAAAGCAGAGGCGTGGCGACCGCATGGCGAGGTTCCGCCCTTGCCTCCAGACTGTGGACTCTGCCTGGCACGACCACGTCTCACATCTCTGTCCCTGAGCCGCCTGGGGCAGTGCTGCACCTGCGGCTCCGCCCACTTCCTCCACGGGGCTGGAGGACAGAGGATGTGGGGGCCCTGCCACCTGCTGGGGTGACCTCTGGGGAAGTGGCTCTCCTGTGGTCGTCCAGGCGGTCTGTGGGTGGCTGTCCCTCGACATAACTGGGGCTGAAGTTTCCAGTCACATGCGGGCCAGGACTCCCTTCCGGCCGCCACCTGCCGCACCAGCATCCCCTAGGGCTGTTCCCCTGCCGACCCAGCTCCCTGCTAACGCTCGGGGAGAGCAGCAGACGATGGCCCTGTGGGAGACCCAGAGGAAGCTCCAGGCTTCTGGCTTCCACCTGGCCCAACCCTGGCCATTGCAACCATCTGGGGAGTGATCTCTGTAACTCTGCCTTTCAAACAAATAAATACATTTTTAAGAGGAAGAGATGTTTGTGTCAAAGCTTCCCATAGTGGTATTTTGTAAATGGGGCATAAAAACAGCTTCCAGGACAGCTGACAGCTGCCTGCTGCCCGCTCAGGTCTCTGGTTTTATCAGAGGATAAACCTTCAGCTGATAGCATAGCCCTATTTTTTTTTGAAAGGCAGAGTTACAGAGGGAGAGAAAGAAAGGTCTTCCTTTCCGTTGGTTCACCCCCCAAATGGCCGCTACGGCCGGTGCCCTGCGCTGATCCGAAGCCAGGAGCCAGGTGCCTCCTCCTGGTCTCCCATGGGGTGCAGGGCCCAAGCACTTGGGCCATCCTCCACTGCCTTCCCGGGCCACAGCAGAGAGCTGGACTGGAAGAGGAGCAACCGGGACAGAATCCAGTGCCCCGACCGGGACTAGAACCCGGGATGCCAGTGCTGCAGGTGGAGGATTAGCCTAGTGAGCCGCGGCGCCGGCCAAGCATACCCCGATTTCACCGCAATTCGAATGGGGAGAGTGACCTGCAGCGGCAGACGTGACAGGTGGTGAGGTGGATCCGTGGTGGCACCGTGTTCATCTTGGCTCCAGCACCTGGCCTCCCACAGTGCCCCAGGCGTCACCCCTTCTAAAGCCAGAAATGCTCACTGAGGCCCCGGCACCTTAGGCCTGGATGCCTCCAAGATGACAGGAAAGCGTCCGGCTCCAGCCAGGCGGCAGCCTCGTCAGCTCCTGTGAGTGCAGCAGCGGGTGTCAGAGGACAAGGTTACAGCTCCATTTCAGATCTGATCTTTTTGTGAAAGGCAGAGTTAGAGGGAGAAACACACACCACACACACACACACACACACTGAGAGAGAGAGAGAGGGAGAAATCTTATGGAAGATTTCATTGGTTCACTCCCCAGATGGCCACAATAACCAGGCCTGGACCACACTGAGGCCAGGAGCTTCTTCCAGGTCTCCCATGCAGGTGCAGGGGCCCAAGGACTTGGGCCATCTTCCACTGCTTTCCCAGGCCACAGCAGAGAGCTGGATCAGAAGTGGAGCAGCCGGGACTGGAACCAGCGCCCGTAAGAGATGCTGGCACTGCAGACAGCAGCTTCCCCCGCTGTGCCACAGCGCCGGCCCCTAGTTTCAGATCTTAATTGGCTTTCTTTTTGATCCCAGCATCAGGCAACATCTGATTCCATAAATTAGAAGAAATGTTCCCCGAGCCTGGCAGAGGAGGCTGGTTTTACAGACAGAGAAGGGCTGAAGAAGGTGGAAAAAACTGAAGCAGACTGGCCATTTCAGAGCGACTTTCTTTGGAAGGTGGGGGCGGGGAGGCAGCACGATGGGGAACGATGACTGGCTGAGCTCAGGGGCCTGCTGGTGTAAGGATTAGAGAGAGGGAACTGGGGACTGCGTGCTGGCTCCTGCCAACAGAAACCGCCTTGCTGGGGCACTTGCTCCCTTCCTGACCCTGAACTCGTGGAAGGTCAGATGGGCAGCGCAGGGGCTCAGCCTGCTACCCCGACTGCTGTTAGCGTCTCCCCCACCCCGCCCCCGCCGGGGACCACTGCTGGCATCTGAGGAATGGCCCATGGGTGCGCGCTCGCTCCCTCTCTCTCAAATAAATGAACAAAAACTTTAACTGGGGAGACCGGGATGGAGTTCCGTCTCCTGGCTTTGGTCCGGCCCGGCCCTGGCTTTTGTGGGTACCTGGGGGGTAAACGAGCGATGAAAGACCTCTCTCTCTCAGGTCGATGAACAATTTACAACCAAACAGGGCGCTGGTTGAGTCAGGGTACACCCGTGCCACAGAGCTCCCAAGCCATTGTTACAAAGGCTACGGAAGGAAGTGAACTTTCCACACACACAGTAGCTTCGTGATTAGGAGTCCCTGATGTATCGTGGGGCAAAGGCCGCAAGCCGCCCCTGGGGTGTGGGGGGCTCCCGCGGGCCTTGCAGTAGGGACTATGCGTCTACAGGGAGGGTACAAACCTTGTGGGGTGTAGGGGCTCCCGCTGGCTTTGCAGTGGGCATCAGGGGACTGTGTGTCTGCAGGGAGGGTACAAGCCGCCCGTGGGGCGTGAAGGGCTCCCGTGGGCCTTGCAGTGGGGACTGTGCGTCTGCAGGGACGGCGCCTGCTCACAGCTGCCCTGGGTCACGGCCCTGTGCTGGGGAACCTCAGTAATTCCACCACTAAAAACTACAGACTCCGGCCCGCAGTAGCACTACTGACCGGCCAACGCCTCCGGGTGCTCAGAGCGGGTGAGGCCCGGCGGGTGAGGCCCCAGCAAGCAGGAGCCCCGTTTACAGCTGGGCAAACAGAACAGCAAAGAGGCAAAGGCAGACGCCCAAGGTTGTGCAGCAGCTGGGGCAGGCCCAGCCGACGTCAGCTCCAGGCGTTTCCACCACCCCCTCCCCCGGCCCCTGCTCCCCAGGGGCTCAGTCCTGGAGTCCATCTCTCCCGGGACAGCGCCAGGATGCGAGGTTAGCCCAGTGGTTGAGAGGCCAGTCAGGGGCCTTCGTCCCACCCTGGCGTAGCTGGACTCCCAGCCCCAGCACCTGACTGCAGCCGCCCTCACCCACCTGCGAGGTGAGCTGTCGGCGGCATCTGGGAAGTGAACCAATGGATGGGAGCTGTCTGCGCCTCTCCAGCCAGCCAGCCAGCCAGCCAGCCAGCCAGAGTCAGCCAGCCAGCCAATCAGCCAGCCAGCCAATCAGTCAGTCAGTCAGAGCCAGCCAGCCAGCCAGTCAGTCAGTCAGAGCCAGCCAGCCAGCCAGCCAGCCAGCCAGCCAGAGTCAGCCAGCCAGTCAGTCAATCAATCAGTCAGTCAGTCAGAGTCAGCCAGCCAAAGGGACAGTGACTCTGGCACGTCACATTCTTCTGAAACAGAGGGACGGACTTGCTTTTGTTAATAAAGTAGAATAGCATTTATTTATCTTAACATTTGCATTATACGTGCTGCCTTCATGGAAAATCGAGACCTCTGAAGGAGTCAATCAGACATAAATCATGCCGGGCCCGAGCCGCTCCCGAGCCCTCCGCCGAGAGGCGTCACACCGAAGCTCGCTTCTCCTTGTAGGTGGCCATCATCTTCTTGATCTCAGCGATGGCTTTCCCCGGGTTCAGGCCCTGAGGGGAGAGGACCGACACCACCGGTGAGCAGCGGGCGGCCGGACAGGCAGCCCCGAGGCCCTGGGACGGCTCCCGGCTCCGCAGGGTCAGAGCTAAGAGATGCAAGTCAAGGCCTTCAAGCCAGGCCTGGCTGAGGGCGCCGCTCAGCTCCCCTGGCCACCCTGCCACGTGGCCGGCTCCTGGTGCGGCTCACGCCAGCAGGCCAACAGGGCAGGCGCCCGCGCTCCGCTGCTCACCCAGGACAGCGTCGCTTCTCGGCCCACAGGCCAATGTCAATATTAGCCCGGCACCCGAGACCTCTGCCGTCATGACCCCGCGTCGGCAGCAGCAGGAAGGGGCTCGCTCGCCAACCCTTCCTAATCGCCTGCCAGAGCCTGTGTGGCCAGGGCCGCCGCTGCCAGCTGCAGGCTGCCTTCGCACCGTGTGCCTGCTGTGCAGGGGCCCAGGGAGTGAGCGGTGAGCGCCGCCGTCACAGCAGGGAGGCAGGCCGCACGTCCCTGGGACCCCAGGGAAACGCAACCGGCAGGAGAGACCTTGGGGAGTGGACAGGAGAGAAGGCGGCTGCTGGACGCTGGCGGGAGACGCTCTCCCCGACGGCTGAGGGAGGCGGCAGGAAGGTGCACGCTGCACCGGGCTCTGCGCAGCTCTCGTGACACAGCCCGAGGTCAGGGCGCACGGCACACAGCCCACAGCCGGAGGGACCAGGCAACCCAGCGCTGGAGCCCGCTCTCCCCACCACACCCACAGCCTGTCCTGAGGGCAGGGGCACGGCCGTTTCCAGGCAAGAAGGAAGGAGGGGAGGCACTGAGCATCCACGTGTTCTAAGACAGCTGTCATTTCTAACTGTCGGCCGTGACCCCAGCCTGCCACCTTGCTGCCATGGCCAAGTTTCACTGCCCCACGGCAGCCTCGGCTTGAAAGGGCCACCCGGCCCTCGCTGAGGCCCACGGCACCAGCACAGGCGCCCGACTGAAGGGCAGCTGGCCACAGCCCCCCACCCCTGTGGGCTGGCATGGCAACAGAGCTGGAACCTCGGGCGTGTCACGGGGCAGTGTCCAGACCGGGCCAGCCAGAGGCAGCCGTATGTGTGGGAGGCAGGGGCCGAAGGCCGGGGAGCTGAGCCCTGAGTCAGAGATAAGCTGTCCAGGCTCACAGAACGAACGGGCTGGCGGCTGGAGCGCAGAGGTCAGCGACCGACTCTGGATGGCGGGGACAAGAGGGACTCGAGTCCCCAGAGCTGCCCGTTTCGGATGGCCCTGGGCTGAAGACAGGCTCCCGCCCACAGATCCCTGGGACCCTGCCTCCTCAGTGCCCGTGTCCCCGGAGGCGGCCTGAGTGAGTGCATTCCTGCAGCTCCGGGCTGCCCCGCCCCAGGCCCACAGGATGACAGGCCGGCTCCGGCCCCGCCCCCGCCGCTGCGGGCGCACGGCACCTTGGGGCAGGTCCTCGTGCAGTTCATGATGGTGTGGCAGCGGTACAGCGAGAAGGGGTCCTGCAGCTTGGCCAGGCGCTCCTCCGTGAAGTCGTCTCTGGAGTCGATCATCCAGCGGTAGGCCTGGGGAGACCGGGCCAGGTGAGCAGGGCTGCCGCGTTACAGGCCAAACAGAGCCCGGGGCACTCGGCGCTGCCCGGGCACCCGGGAGCGCAGCCTCGCGCCTCACTCCACCAATGACCCCCGCTCCCTGGTCCACACCGCGCCCGGCGCCCAGGAGCTAAACCCCAGCTCATGAGCACCGCCTAACGACTTCACTGTGCTCGCCGACGGCCTGGGGCACGTGGCTGTCCCCACGCCTGTCCTCGCTGGACTCTCACTGCGGGAGTGAACCGATGACGGGCCAGTCCTGTCCAGACGCCAGCTCACGGAGGGGGACTGACCACAGCATTGCTGGGCCTGCTCCGGCAGCATTACCGACAGGACCCCCTCGTGTCTCAGCGCCTCAGGTCACCCGGTGCAAGTGACAAACAGGACTGCACTCATTACTCAACCTGTCTGAGGCCAGGAGTCAATACCGTGCACGTGGTCACACGATCAGGAAACCTCTCTTCACGAGAAAGCGAGAACGGGAAGTTGTCTTCTGGGCTTCTGGAAAGCACAGACCACAACTCTGCAAGCCCACAGCTTTCTGGGAACAAGGCTGGTGACCTCGCGGCAGCGACCCGGGCCCGTGGTGAACGGCAGCGGAGCCCCACGCGGCCCCTTGCTCAGGGCTGTCCCTCGCCACCTCTTCCCACTGCCCAGCAGGACAGCTGCCCGAAAGGAGAGAGGGCGGGAGCCTTCTCACAGACACGGGCGGAGGACGGGCACGGCAGCGGACCAGGGAACCGCTCTAGACCCCTGCAAGGCGCGGTCTGCGCAAAGCAGTGAACCAAAGGCACGCTGCGGCCTGGAAGTCACGCGGGCCCGACGCAGCCGACAACACTGAGTGACCCCGCTGGGTGACCCGGCGCCGGCAGCCCCCCCGCCCCCTCCCGCGTCAGGGGAGGCCCCTCACCTGCATGAGCACGGCGGGCCCCAGGTACTTGTCCCCGTTCCACCAGTAGCTGGGGCAGCTGGTGCTGCAGCAGGCACAGAGGATGCACTCGTACAGGCCGTCCTGTGGCAGAGGGGACGCGGCGTCGGCTCCGTGCGCGGGCTCAGCGCCCTCGTGCACGGGCAAGTTCTTGGCAGAGTCCAAGGGGTGCCCCGCACACTTATCAGGTTCATAAAAAGCTCATGTAATTGAAACGTAAACAGTGCTGATGACAGTCCAGAGACCTTAAATCCAAGTGCTTCCTCCTTAATAAACAACAACCTCTCACTTCCCGAAAAGTGAAATCAACAGAAACAGAAAGGCAGCAGCCGGCACGCGGGCGGAGCGGAGGACGCGCCCTGGCAGCCACTGCAGTGCCTGCCACAGCTCAGCAGGGACCTCGGCGCCCGCCAAGGCCCCACACGCTCTCCACGCGGGGGCCGGGGACCCTCGCAGACTCCCACTCAGGTCAGGAATGGGCGCACGGCAGGGCTGGGCTCTGGGCCCCGTGGTCTGACTCTGGCTCGCGGCTCTTTCACGCCTGCCGCCTGACCACTCCTGAGTAACCCTACTTCTGACCTGGAAACCAGAGACATGGATCAGAAGAGCAGACAGAAGGGGTAAGGCTCGTCCTGGGAGGCAGCAGGTGATGGCTCGAACGCCCGGCCTGCCGCCCACGCAGGAGATCCAGACCCAGTTCCAGCCTCTGCTTTGGTCTGGCCCAGCCCTGCTGTTGCAGACATTTGGGAGTGAACCAGCAGATGGAAGAGCTTTCTCTCTTTCCAAGTAAGTAAATTTAAAAAAAATTCCCTGTATTTTTCAATTCTTTGCTAGGTTTGGCATACTAATGTAAAGAGCAAAAAATGCTGCGCAGGTGGTGCTTGGTATCTGAGTGAGTGCAACGCTCGGGGGAGCCGTCTGCCCCAGGGAACCACATCAAGGAGACGTGCCCAGCGGCGGAATGCCGGGGGACCAGCTGGGCCAGAGCGGCTGGCTCCACGCTGGGCTCCGGGGGCGTGTGGCCCTGTGGAGTCGGAAGCGGCTGGGAGCAAGGTGCGCTGGTGCGCTTGGCGGAGTCGCAGCGGCTCCCTGGACTCACACCAGCGCCGCACTGCTGCCTGTCACGGCCGTGACTTAGGACGGCCCTCTCCTCGGGTTCTGTGGGGCAGAGCAGGGGAGGCTAAACAGGCCCCAGGGTCTAACGCGCATTCAGCATTTCACCCACACGACTCGTGTTTAGTGACACAGGATCACGTGTCAGCATCTAGGGACCCAGGAAGGAGAGACACGGCCGCTGGCCAACAAGCAGAGAGGCCCTCTCAGGACAGCGCGGCTCTGAGCAAGGCAGGGTGGTTGCAGCAGGCGCAGCAGCCACCCCACACCAACCCCTAAAGACGGTGTCGGCGGAGAGCAAGGCTCCAGCTCCCGGCTGCCTGTAAACGGCAGGTGGCAGCTGGGGTGCAGATGCCGCATCTGCTTTATCCTGTCTGGGGTGAGAACAGCTCTGATGTAACTGCCAACTTTTAAAAGGGAGGCGGCTTCCACGGACTCCTGGGAAGGACGAATGGCACCATGGCAACAACCGGCCTCCCGAGCAGGGCACAGCGTGCCGGCTCCTTGGTCCGTTCCGGGCCTGAGGGCTCCTAGCGCCCACCTGGCCCCAAAAGGAGGGCAGGCAACCCTCAGAGCAGATGCCATTACGTGTCCTCTCCAGGTGCAAGGGGCGCCCAGGCCCCTGCTCCCCTCCCCTCTCCCATTTCCTGCTGATGTGCACCCGAGAGGTTCGGGTGATCAGGTCCCTGGGTCCCTGCGGCCCACGTGGAGATGCAGTGGCGCTCCCGGCTCCTGGCTCTGGCTGCCCTGAGCATCTGAGGAGTGAACCCGGACGGGAGAGCTGTCTCTGCTTCAAGAGGTTCCTCTCCAGAACACGCTACATGGTCTGTCACCGCCGCGTGCTGCCCCTGCACTGCCACGTTCCCAGCACACTCTGCAGGGAACCCCCCAGCCAGGCCAGCAGGCAGAGCTCCTGACCAGTTTCTCCCGCTCCTCGATGGACTGCAGGTACTGCTGCTTGCCCCCCTGCGACTCGTCCTTCTTCTTCAAGTAGGGCTCGATGGACTTGTACTGCGCGTAGAAGTTGCTCAGGTCCTGTGGCCAAGAGGAAGGGGAGGCCCAGGTCAGACCCCACCTGCCCCGTGCTCCTGCAGGCCGCCTCCCACACACGCATCACAGCCCTGTGCTCCGCGTGAGCACACACAGGCTGCAGGGGCAGAATGGGCCCGCTCTCTCCCTCACGGACCCAGGACACACTCTCTGTGCCCACCCTTGGACACAGCCAGTCAGCGAAGGGGGCCAGTGCAGGAGGCAGGACGGGGAGCCCACGCAGGATGGGGAGCCCACGCAGGGACAGGGAGCCACGCAGGGACGGGACGCCCACACAGGACGGGGAGCCCACGCCGGGACGGGGAGCCCACGCAGGGACGGGACGCCCACACAGGACGGGGAGCCCACGCCGGGACGGGGAGCCCACACAGGGACGGGGAGCCCACGCAGGACGGGGAGCCCACACAGGGACGGGGAGCCCACGCAGGACGGGGAGCCCACGCAGGGACGGGACGCCCACACAGGACGGGGAGCCCACGCCGGGACGGGGAGCCCACGCAGGGACGGGGAGCCCACACAGGGACGGGGAGCCCACGCAGGACGGGGAGCCCACACAGGGACGGGGAGCCCACGCAGGACGGGGAGCCATGCAGGGATGGGGAGCCGACGCAGGACGGGGCACCCACACAGGGACGGGGAGCCCACGCAGGGACGGGACGCCCACAGGAGCAGCGGCTGCTCTCCTTGCCGGGCTCCACGCGAGCTCCAGCACTCGGATTCTGTGCCGTTATTCCCACACGGATTCTGTGCCGTTATTCCCACTCGGATTCTGTGCCGTTATTCCCACACGGACCTCGGCAAATGAGCCGCTGAGGATTTCCGGGTGCTTACCTTCTGCTATTCAAATTCTTTAATTAAACTGAGGCCAATGGTCTCAGATCCAGGGATTTTCCTGACCCTCCCGGTGACACTGGGTTGACACCGAGGTCCTCCTCTTGCCATACACGGGCAGACAGCCCCATCACACAGTTCTATGGGGCTGGTGTAAGTCCCGGATGTTTTACTTCCAAGCCTGCTAACGCACGTGGGAAAGATGCCCAAGTCCTTGGGCTCCTGCTACCCACGTAGGAGACGGGGGGTGCATTCCCGGCTCCTGGCTTTGGCCTGGCCCAGCCCCTGCTGTTGTGGCCACATGGGGAGTGACCCAGTGGATGGAGGATCACTCGCTCTGTTGTTCTGCCTTTCAAACAAATAAATTAGTAAATCTTAAAAACAAAAACACAACAAAACAAGCCTGGGGCCAGGTTAAGCCCCTGCCTGTGACATGGGTGTCCCGTACGGGCACCGGTTTGAGACCCGGCCGCTTCGCTTTGATCCAGCTTCCCGCTAAGGTACCTGGGAAAGCACTGGAATACGACACAAGTGCTTGGGCCTCTGCATCCATGTGGGAGACCCTGAAGATCTGGGCTCCTGGCTCTGGGCTGGCCAGCCCTGGCTGTTGTGGCCGTTTGAGCAGTGAACCAGCAGATGGACGATCAATCTCTGACTCTGCCCTTCCAATAAACATAAGCACCACCCCCTGCAAAGAACGTAAGAGACGGGGACTCACGGGCACGAGGTCCTTGATCACGTACATATGCGGGAGAGGGTAGATTTTTGATACTTTATCGAGGTTGGTGTCGATCCTCCGTGTGCACGCCAGAGTGTTGCCCCCGTTGATGTTCATGGCACAAGAGCCACAGATGCCTGCAAGAAGGAGACCCGCTTGACCACGCCCTCCCACCGCCACACCCCTGCCTCCGCTGACTCGCCTGCAAACTGCTCCCTTTCCTCCGTCTTCCTACCAAGAGCAAGGATCTGACGCTGGAGCTCTGGAAACCCTCTGTGACCGTGAGGCGGCCCCGAGGCTAGAAAGCACAGGCGGAGTCGGGTTGGGAGCCCCACACTGCTCTAGCTCCGCGCCAGTCACGTGTTTTAGGAGGACACGCAGCTTCCGCTATTTCCAAGCCAGTTTTGGGAACGTTGATTTGAACAAAGGTAACACCTACAGCAAAGCACCTGGCCTGGTCATCCTAACACGGAGGCCTGGACACGGGCGATCAGGGTCCCGCTCTTCCTCCACACCCCTACCAGTCGAGGGACACGGCTGCTCTGGGGCTCGACGCTCGCATCAGCAGACCCAGAACGGACTCCGAGGAGCAGAACCAACTACCGCGAAAGCAAAGCAACGCACGGTGCTGGCCGAGGGCCCGGAGAGAGGATTTTCTGTCTGGGCCTACTTCCTGTGCAGGAATACGGCCCAGACGCTTCAGAGTTTAAAAATGACAACATAATCCAAACCCTGGTTCCACTTCCCTGAAGCTATTTTTTGAAGACCATCAGGCCAGAGAAACCTGACTGCTTGTGAAACCCGCACTGGGTTCCACTCTGTAAGGCCGCGCTCTCCCCGTCTCCTGGCAATCTTAGCAAGAACATCAGAGAACGCGAAGATCCACCTTAAGGACATACTCTTAGTTTCCCAAGAGACTGTACATTGATGGACACCTAGCGTCCAGCCAGAGCAGCTGGCTTTTTTTTTTAATTAATTTATTTATTTTAAAGAGTTACAGAGAAGCAGAGGGAGAGGGAGAGAGAGAAAGAGAGAGAGAGAGAGATAAAGAAAGGTCTTCCATCTGCTGGTTCACTCCTCAGATGGCTGCAACAGCTGGAGCTGTGCTGAACTGAGGCCAGGAGCCAGGAGCTTCTTCTGGATCTCCCACGTGGATGCAGGGGCCCAAGGACCTGGGCCATCTTCTACTGCTTTCCCAGGCCACAGCAGAGAGCTGGATTAGAAGAGGAGCAACCTGGGACTCGAACTGGCACCCACATGGTTGCTGGCATTGGAGGCAGCAGCTTTATCCGCTATGCCACAGCACCGGCTCCAGCGATTGGCTTTTATAACAAATAGCTCAAGATTTAAAACAAGCCCAATGAACTTCCTCTTAAAGACTCTCCTGGGGGCCAGTGCTGTGATGTAGCGGGTAAAGCTGCTGCCTGAGGCGCTAGCATCCCATATGGGTGCTGGTTCACGTCCCGGCTGCTCCTCTTCTGATCCAGCTCTCTGCTGTGGCCTGGGAGAGTAGCAGAAGATGGCCCAAGTGCTTGGACCCCTGCACCTGTGTGGGAGACCCAGAAGAAGCTCTTGGTTCTTTGCTTCAGAATGGCCCAGTTCCAGCCGTTGCAGCCATTTGGGGGGTGAATCAGTGGATGGAAGACTTTTTGTCTCTCTCTTTAACTCTAAATAAATAAGTAACTCTTAAAAAAAAAGGGGGGGGGTTGGTGCTGTAGTGTAGTGGGTAAAGCTGCCACCTGTGGTGCCGGCATCCCATGTGGGCGCCGGTTCAAGTCCCGGCTGCTCCACTTCCGATCCAGCTCTCTGCTATGGCCTGGGAAAGCAGCAGAAGATGGCCCAAGTCCTTGGGCTCTTGTACCTGCATGTGAGACCTGAAGGAAGCTCGTGGCTTCGATTCAGCACAGCTCCAGCCATTGTGGCCAACTGGGGAGTAAAACAGTGGATGGAAGACCTCTCCCTCTCCCCTCTGTGTAACTCTTTCAAATAAATAAATAAGTCTTAAAAAAAAAAAAAAAAAAAAAAAAAAAAAAAAAGAGGCTAGCCGGTGCCATGGCTCAATAGGCTAATCCTCCGCCTGCGGCGCTGGCACACCAGGTTCTAGTCCCGGTCGGGGTCGGTGCGCCGGGTTCTGTCCTGGTTGCTTCTCTTCCAGTCCAGCTCTCGGCTGTGGCCCAGCAGTGCAGTGGAGGATGGCCCAGGTTCTTGGGCCCTGCACCCCATGGGAGACCAGGAGGAAGCACCTGGCTCCTGGCTCGGATCAGCGCAGTGCGCTGGCCGTAGCGGCCACTTAGGGGGTGAACCAACAGAAGGAAGACCTTGCTGTCTCTCACTGTCCACTCTGTCTGTCAAAAAAAAAAAAAAAAAAAAAAAAAAAGAAAAAGGCTCCCCTGGAATTAACTCCCTTAGACACACAGGAATAAAGTGGAGCGGTAACAATACAGCTCTGCCCTGGGTGTGGTGCACAAGGGTCACACTTCATGATCCTGGCTCTGAGGGTCCTGCGGGGAAAGGCTGCCGGGCAGCATCTGCATCCCTGCGCGGCCGGGACTCGGGCGGGCAGGCTGGTGTCCCGCACAGCACACGGCCCCTGGACGGCAGGACACGGCCGGGCAGGCTGGTGTCCCGCACAGCACACGGCCCCTGGACGGCAGGACACGGGCGGGCAGGCTGGTGTCCCGCACAGCACACGGCCTCTGGACGGCAGGGCTCGGGCGGGCAGGCTGGTGTCCCGCACAGCACACGGCCCCTGGACGGCAGGGCTCGGGCGGGCAGGCTGGTGTCCCGCACAGCACACGGCCTCTGGACAGCAGGACGCAGCCCAACCACCCTAACCCGTCTCGGCATTTGTTAACGAAATAAGAAGAGCTGAACCAAAACAGAAGGCAGACAGTAAAACAAAGCAGCAGTGGGCCGATGTCTGGCCTGGCTTTCCCTCTTTGGGAAGGTATGTTGGGAAGAGAGTTCATTTGGGGTCCCTGGGGCCCGGGCTCCCTGTCTGTTTCAGCCGGGTAAGTAGAGCTCTGGGGTCCAGCAGTCTGCACTGAACCCAGTCACTGTCTCTGTCGCTGTGGAACTCCCCTCGCCCCTGGGCCTCAGCGTCCTCACTGTTCATTTAATGACAGCACCCACCTAGCTCACACGAAGTGGGGTCCCTCGGCCATCAGGACGCCCCCCCCCCTTTTTTAAGATTTATTTATTTACTTGAAAGTCACAGTTACACAGATAGAGAAGGAGAGGCAGAGAAAGAGAGGTAGAGAGGTAGAGAGAGAGAGAGAGAGAGAGGTCTTCCATCTGCTGGTTCACTCCCCAGATGGCCACAACGGCTGCAGCTGTGCCGATCCAAAGCCAGGAGTCAGGAGCCTCTTCCGGGTCTCCCACGCGGGTGCAGGGGTCCAAGCACTTGGGCCATCTTCTACTGCTTTTCCAGGCCACAGTGTGGAGCATCCGGGACTCGAACCTGCACCCATATGGGATGCCGGCACTGCAGGTGCTGGCTTTACCTGCTACGCCACAGCGCCGGCCCTGCTCTGTGTGGTTTTAATCTCATCTGAGAGCCATGTAGTTTTCTTTGTAACAACTCTGCTTTCAAGTAACTACTGGAGGAGTTTTCTTTACATCAGTTCCTTTTACCTGAATCCATATTAAAAATACGCCACTTATATCTCTGTTACGTGATCCTAACGTGGAAATAAACACAAGGGGCAGGTGTTGTGCTGCAGTGGCTTAGATCACTGTTCGGGATGCGGCATCCCACGCTGCAGTGCCTGGCTTGAGTCCTGGCTATCCTGCCTTTGACCCAGCTTCCTGCTCATGTTCCTGGGAAGGCGGAAGATGACGGCCCAGGTACCCGGGCCCTGTCAACCATGCGGGAGAGGTGGATGAAGCTGTGGGCCACCAGTTTCGGCCTGGTTCAGCCCCAGCTGTTGCAGGCATTTGCAGAGTGAACCAGCAGATGGACGATCTCTTTCCTGTCTCGCTGCCTTTCAAACAAATATGTCAAGAAACAAAAATGTTTTTAAAAAGAGAGCTGCTAGCAGTGGAAAGTGTTGGTCCGCACACTGCCTCAACCAACTCATGCAGCACCGGGAAGAGAAGTCACCACAGCCGGAGACGCTGCCCCAACCCACCCAGAGCACACCTACTGTGTGCACCGCGACACTGGGAGCCCGTGAGACTGACACTGCCTGCAAGACGGGCGGAAGTGCGCGCAAGCGCCAGCTGGAAGTGCCCACCGCCCTCCTCACAGAGCTCAGCACTGCGCACAGCGTCAGCTCACAGGCAGGGGCAGATGCAGACATCAGGCGGCAGCAGGCCCAGAACCAGAACCTGCAGCGGGGCTCAAGCAGGGCACACCCCCCACGGAAGGGAAGCGCAGAGCCCCGCTGCCCCGCGGCTGCCTTCCAGGACCTCTGCGGTGCAGCCGGCCGGGCCGAGCGCCCCCGGCCAAGAGGAATGAGACGCTCACCTTCTCTGCATGATCTTCGGAAGGTCAAGGTAGAATCAATTTCATTCTTAATCTTGATTAGAGCGTCTAACACCATGGGGCCGCATCTGACAAAGGAAACAGCCAGGCGTCACGCATATCAAGTTCAACCGCCCCACCCTTCATCACAATGACCGAGACTGCTGGACGTGCCACGCACTTGCCCTCTGAGACCACACTCAGAGGTCCTCCCGCACTCTTGTGCGCGGGGACATGTAGGTGACCACCGCACTGCACACACGCTTCTAGGACGCGGACACTCAGGAGCAGCAGAGCAACGCCTAAGTTGGCAGAAAACTCCGAACGACTGCAGCTGTTGTTTTCCACTTTGAAAGCTCCCTCCAAAGTTTTCCCAAATAATTTACTTACAATTTTAGTTTCCTTTTTAGGATCCAGGACGTAAGTAGCCAAAAGTGGTTAGTAACACATAATATATAAGCAGAACAGAATACGTATCCAGAGAGTAGGAGAAAATACATCACCCACAGCCCCCAATCCAAAGTTGCATGAGCATTCCGCATTCTGGGACGTGTGGGGGCAGTCGTGTGGTGCTAACAGTGCAGTAGGCCCGGGACAGGAGCGCAGGCCTGGAACCCAAGAGCCTGGTCTAAACCCTGGCTCAGCCACCAACCCGCTCAGAGGCCCGTGACATGATCTGTGTCCCAGTGTCTCATCTATGACACAGGCAGCAGCACCTGCATCTCACACGACGTCTGGACCTGAGTTAATCCACGAGATACTTAGAGCAGCGTCTGCAGCACAAATCAGCTGAACTACGATAATCATCACGTAGACTGTGATTGACAGACATTTTACTCTGTTTGTCTGTAAAGTGGGATTAATATCAATGGCACAGGATCACCATGGGGTTAGATAAAATCTCGTAATTTTCATAGTATCTGGCATATAGGCAAGTGCTCAACGACACTGTTTCCTGGCTGGCATCGGTACTCTCGTTCCTCTAAGTTTCTATGCATGAGATCCAAAGAAACATGGCCCCCCGCTTTCCTTTGGTATTACCTGTATTTCTGCCAGCAACAGGCAGACATCCCTTCCCTGGAACCCTTGCTCACACGGAACTGAATCTTAAAAATCTTCGCTGCTCTGATCACGGACAAGTGCTGCCGCCTTCAGTGTTTCACCATCTCTGAGTGCTACGGAGGTTGGCCATTTATCATGCATTTGTCTTCACTCGCCAATTACTGACTGAAGGCCTACTCTGCCTAGTTATTCTGGGGGCTGGAGATACACTGGACGGAACAGATGAACACTGCCACCCACGTGGAGCTTCTGCCCCAGGGGCACTGCAGACTTGGCCTGTCTGTGTTGTCTCTGTTTTTTTGGTTCTTGGGACTCTTTTCTTTTTTTTTTAAAGATTTGAACCTATCATGTATTGTATCTGTTGCTAATCCTGCCCTTTCCCCTTCGGGATTTACTATGTGACTTGTAATTCTGGTAATGGAATTTTAAACACACGTAAGATTTAAATGTTTACACTGATAAAGCTGAACACCCGCTCCCACGGTACTAACAAGCCTAACAAGTCCGCTCCCTGGATGGAGGTTTGATGGATATTTGCAATCTTCTTCTACATTAAACATTTTAAATTATTCTCCCCAAATAGTAAAAACTGTTAATTAACTGCCCCAAATCACTGACTAGACCCTCATTTGCTTTTGATTTATAACATTTCCCTCTTGCAGCCTAGACTAGAATCTTATAGAAGAAAGTGAAGCCTATTTTTTTTTTTTTTTAAAGATTTTACTTATTTATTTGAGAGGCAGAGTTACAATGAGAGGGAGAGACAGAGAGAAAGGTCTTCCTTCTGTTGGTTCACTCCCCAAATGGCCGCAATGGCTGGAGCTGTGCCGATCCAAAGCCAGGAGCTTCCTCCTGGTGTCCCATGCAGATGCAGGGGCCCAAGCACTTGGGCCATCTTCTACTGTTTCCCAGCCCACAGCAGAGAGCTGGATCGGAAGTGGAGCAGCCGGGACTAGAACTGGTGCCCATATGGGATGCTCTCACCACAGGCAGAGGATTAACCTACGCGCCATGGCGCCGGTCCCAGAATTATTATTTTTTTAAATCCTAATGACCTGCCTACTCTTGTCCTAGCCACATTATCAACTATGACTGTTTCTAAAATGAACAAAGCTAGTATTTGCATCTCATAAACATTCCAAATACAAAGTTGTAAAGTCAAAGCCTCTCCTTTAAAACTGTACACGACACATGGGCACCATGAAATAGCTCACAGGCAAGTGTTCAGTGCAGCTGTTGGGACACTGCTCAAGACACCCACGTCACGTTCTGGATCCCCTGGGTGTGATCTCAGCTCTGCTTCTGATCCGGCTTCCTGCTAACTAGCATCCTGGGAAGAAGCAGGTAATGGCTCGAGTACTTGTGTCCCTGCCTGCCAGGTAGGGACCCAGACTAGGTACCTGGCTTCTGGCTTCAGCTAGGCCAAGACCTGGATCTTACAGGTATTTGGGAATAAACCAGTGGCTGCAAGATCTCCCTCTGCCTTTCAAATAAATAATAAAAAATTCTGTATATATTTTCTCACCTAAAAAATAATACCATAAATCACATTTTGCTGGTTTAAACCTTTTTTTCACTTATGTGGAAGTAAAGAGAGAGAGAGGGAGAGAGGGGGAGAGAGAGAGAGAGAGAGGGAGAGAGAGGGAGAAAGAGAGAGGGAGGGAGGGAGGGAGGGAGGGGGGGAGAGAGAGAGAGAGAGAGAGAGAGAGAGAGAGAGAGAGTGAGTTAGTTCCCATTTGCTGTTTCAGCCCCTAGATGCCTGCAATGGCCAGGGCTGGGCTGAGCTGGACCGAGGCCCGAAGCCAGGAACTCAGTCCAGTTCTCCTGTGTGGAGAAGGACCCGATTACTGCAGCCCTCACTGCTGTCTCCTAGGGTCTGCATTAGCAGGAAGCTGAACTCAGGAGCACGAGCTGGGAATCAACCCCGGGTATCCAGCGTGGGGCAGCCCACTGGAGGACGGAGGTTTAAAGTCCTGTGTTACATACAACACCACACGTGACATCTGTGTACACAGATGTGAGGCTGCTTTGGAATGCAAGCTGATTTCTGCACAAAAGGCAGGAGGAATTTTGATATAAATTGTACTGAATGTGCCAATCAGTGTGGGGAGCCCTGCCACTTCTACATTAGGTCTTGTAACCCACAACACAGGACGACTTTCCAATTATTTAGGCCTTCCTTAATTTTTTGACAATGTTTTAAAGTTTCAGTGCACAAGTCTTGTACTTCTGTTAAATTTGTTCCTAAATATCTTTTTTTTTTTTTTTTTGACAGGCAGAGTGGACAGTGAGAAAGAGACAGAGAGAAAGGTCTTCCTTTTGCTGTTGGTTCACCCTCCAATGGCCGCTGCGGCTGGTGTGCTGCGGCCAGTGCACCGCACTGATCCGATGGCAGGAGCCAGGTACTTCTCCTGGTCTCCCATGGGGTGCAGGGCCCAAGCACTTGGGCCATCCTCCACTGCACTCACTGGCCACAGCAGAGAGCTGGCCTGGAAGAGGGGCAACCGGGACAGAATCTGGCGCCCCAACCAGGACTAGAACCCGGTGTGCCGGCGCCGCAAGGCGGAGGATTAGCCTAGTGAGCCGTGGCACTGGCTAAATATCTATTCTTTAAAAAATTTTTTTTTATTTCAAAGGCAGAGTGACAGAGAGAGGAAGAGAGATCTTCCATCTGCTGGTTCGCTCCCCAAATGGCTGCAACAGCCAGGGCTGGGTAAGGCCAAAGTCAGGAGCCTAAAACTCCATCTGGGTCTCCCACGTTTGTGGCAGGGGCCCAGCACTTCAGCCATCTTCCACTAGAGTTGGACTGGAAGCAAAGTAGCTGGGACTCAAACCAGCTTAGCCTGCTGTACCACAACGTCAGCCTCAAGATTTTATCTTTTTTAAAGATTTACTTATTTATTTGAAAGTCAGTTACAGAGAGAGAGGAGAGGCAGAGAGAGAGAGGGAGAGGGAGGGAGGGAGGGAGGGAGGAGGGAGAGGGAGGTCTTCCACTTGCTGGTTCACTCCCCAATTGGCCACAATGGCCAGAGCTGTGCAGATCCTTAGCCAGGAGCCAGGAGCCTCTTCCTGGTCTCCCATACAGGTGCAGGGGCCCAAGGACTTGGGCCATCTTCTACTGCTTTCCCAGGCCACAGCAGAGAGCTGGATTGGAAGTGGAGCAACTGGGACTCAAAACTGGCGCCCACATGGGCTGCTGGTACTGCAGGCGGCAGCTTCACCCACTACGCCACAGCGCGGCCCTTAGCCCCAGTGTTCCATTCTTTTGGACTCTGCTGTAAATGGAATAAGTTTTTTCATTTTAAGATTGTTCCTTGCTAATGTATAGCAATACAATTATTTTCTGTTTTTTTACAGTTACTAGTGGAGTTCATTTTCTTTGTAATTCATTAGGATTAGAAAAGCGAGGGCTGGCACTGTTGGGCAGCAGGTTAAGCTGCTGCCTACAGCACCGGCATCCCATGTGGGCACCGGTTCAAGTCCCAGCTGCTCCACTTCCCATCCAGCTCCCTGCTAATGGCCTGGGAAAGCAGCAGAGGTTGGCCCAAGTGCTTGTGGAAGAACTGAATGGAGTTCCTGGCCTAGTCCTAGATGCTGTGGCCATTTGGGGAGTGATGCAGCAGACAGAAAAATCTCTATTACACTGCCTTTCAAGTAAATAAATAAATCTTAAAGAAAAAAAATGTTTAGCTTCTGATATGTTACATAGCAATATTTTGCAAATATTTAATAAAAAATTATGCTGCCACGAAAACACAATAATAAAGCTATAGGGATTTTTGGGTGTATATGTAGCTATAAGTAGGATTCAAAAGTTGAGTTTCCGAGTAGGATTAGAAAGAAACAGAACTAAACCTAAAATGGGATGCAACATACAATGACGATTAGCAGACACAGAAAGAAAGATGGACAGATTATACATAATCAAAGTGAAGCACAATCGATTTTTTAAAGATTCATTTTATTTATTTGAAAGGCAGAGTGACAGAGAGCGACAGAGGTCTTCCATCTGCTGGTTCACTCCCCACATGGCTGCGTCAGGCTGAAGCCAGGAGCTTCTTTCAGGTCTCCTACGTGGAGTACAATTGATTTTTGTGTACTTA